GGGGGGGGGGGGGGGGAGAGAAAGTAAGTACATTTATTTAAAGTTCCACAATCATTCTGACCGCCCAACAATAGCATATTGATATCTCTAACTCTAATGCTGTAAAAATATCTTGCCATGCTGTTTTTTTTAGTAATAGCGTCATAATGTTGTCTTGTGTTTTCCCGAATAAACTTGCTAGATATCGCTAAAATAGTAGCCTACGCAGTAGCACCGGATTGTAGTCTTACAGTAATATTAAGCACCCCGAAAAGCGGCGCCTGGGAAGAAGTCGGAAGTTGGCGCCCCATAATACATAGAAAAATATTCCCCTCGGAACGTACCGGTAAAAAGACTAATTTGACGCCTCTTGTCTTGTGAAGCAAAGGGAATTTGATAGGTTCATTTGCTATTATTAAGGCACGATCCTAAGACGGTTTTTGCACCCGGGTCGACCGGTCGACGGCCCTCGTCGCCACATTCACGTGGCCCTGCCCGAAGGGCACTACAGGTCACCCAAGGGACGCTGTGTATGTTCTGGGAACCACTGGCCTAGCTAAACAGTCAGCAGTGAAAACCCGTGACCCATTTTATTAAGTTTTTTTGTTTGTTTTTACGTAGACGTCATGATGATGAAAGAGAGATTAATTTGTGGGGGTGAGGAGGTTGTTGTGTACGCAGGGGGTGAGGAGGTGGTTGTGTGTACGCAGGGGGTGAGGAGGTGGTTGTGTGTACGCAGGGGGTGAGGAGGTGGTTGTGTGTACGCAGGGGGCGAGGAGGTGGTTGTGTGTACGCAGCCCCACTCCTCCACCAACACACATGCGTCGGGGTGAGGAGGTGGTTGTGTGTACGCAGGGGTGAGGAGGTGGTTGTGTACGCAGGGGTGAGGAGGTGGTTGTGTGTACGCAAGGGGTGAGGAGGTTGTTGTGTGTACGCAGGGGGTGAGGAGGTTGTTGTGTGTACGCGGGGGGTGAGGAGGTGGTTGTGTGTACCCAGGGGGGCCCAAACTATACAACATGGAGCGGGGATTTTTTTGCGATCGTACTATATGGGTGGCTCCTTTTCATAATAAAAAAAATGATATCAATATTAAATTTTAACATTGCGACCCCCTTCCCTCCCGCTAATCATTGAGCAGCTACCACTGGTGCTTTTTGTGTTGTCATCTCAGCTCTTTGTAAAATCAAAATATAATTTTTTGATCTTTCAAAATCTTGAATAAAATGTTAAAAACATATTAAGGATGTTTTTCTTCCTATTTATGTTAAATGACGTACCGGGTATCAAGGTGGTGAAGGCCATTGGCAACTCAGTGTTCCACATTTCTCCAAAGCTTGCACAAGCTTAGGTTTCATCCTAAAACTGAAAAGACGATGCCAGCTCCTGCAAAGATTTTATTAACAGCTTCACCTACCGTACCTTGGAAGCACTACGGCAAACAGCTTAAACATCCTAGATACTGTTACAAAACTTTGTTACAAAACTATGATGTGTTGTAATTAATTAATGTACTGACCCAATTGTTAAAAGTATGGGTGTTTGCAATGTTTAATGTTTGTATTAACAAACAAAGGTCCCTTTCCTCTACGTTAGATTAGTACTGCTATTATGGTTATGTCTAGGGTACGATTAATTTCCTGATGAAGTATTCTACACTAATCCTACTTCACACTCACTCTATCATTCAATGAACTCTCACTAGCTCTCACTTGCAAGTCTAGTAATACTTTAACTATACTAATAAAACAAGAGTGGTTCAGCCCACAAATAAATATTTAATTATAAGAAAACAGAACTATCAGCATACAAATTACATATACTATACACATAAACAGGATAACAAGATACTGCCCAATATTATTGTATAGTAGGCTCTCAATGGCGATCTGGTCGAATAAGCAAGTCCCCACACACACACACCACAGCAGCCCTCTGCTCGGGTCACAACGTACTGCGGGGTTGGGCGGCTTGACTGCGTAAGTGTCTCCGGTCACTGGCACTGCGAGGAGGTAGGTGCCGACTTTGAACTTTACTGTGGGTAACACACACACAGTATATGCTACCGTCTTGTTGATTCCTTTGGCTTATCTCCTGCTAATAACTGCGACTCCTTTACTGAACTGTACTAGCTTTAGTTCCAGATATTATTTATTGAACTAGTACACCTCTGACCAAATATTTACTTTACAAATACTTTCTGGTCAAATATTCTTTACTGGCCAAATGTTACATACTGTAACTTATTTCATGTAATTTCTTCACTTTACTTAACTTCAGTTTACTTCACTTTACGTAACTTCAGTTTACTTCACTTTACGTAACTATACTTTACTTAACTTTACTTAACTTTACTTAACTGGCTAGAAATGAGAATAATAAATACAATGCATAAGACATAGCTAAGAATTACAAATCACATCACATTATAAATTATTAATAGTTATCATATTCAAACATTAACAATAGTAACTATGGTCCTACCATTTTCTTAATAACATTACATCTACGACTCTACATACCAGTACATATGAATATGAAATAGAACAATACTAACCCGACACAATCGGATAAACACACTTTATCAGCTAATTATGCCAGCCAGGCTCTTCTGACATAATTCAGGTAAGAGAGGCCGATACATGATTTGGGCTTTCAATATATACTCTAAGTTTGGCGTGCTTGTCCCGCATTTAAGCGTGGCATCCCAGAGTCGTGTTTAAATGACTCACAAGCGTGGCTTCGGATTCCGTTACGCGTTGGTCATCAGAGTGACAACTCAGAGTTGGGACGCTTGATAAGAATGAGTGTATTGCTTAAACTGGGTCATGGCCAAAGTGAATAAGTTAATTTCCATTGTTATTTGAGTCTACTTGTATTATTTTAAGGCCCAGCCTAATTGTGTCATATCGCGTGGGGTAGCGCTGAACGCGTGGGGAAGCGATGGAGAGAGTGGAGCCAGCGGGTCTCACAAAGGTGAGGACCAGCGGGTCTCAACAGATACTTATTGCCAGACCCAGTGTCGGCATCCTAGAGACTGATTGCCAGACCCAGTGTCAGCATCCTAGAGACTCACTGACAGACCCAACGTCGGCATCCTAGAGACTGATTGCCAGACCCAGTGTCAGCATCCTCGAGAGTCATTGACAGACCCAGTGTCAGCATCCTAGAGAGTCATTGCCAGACCCAGTTAAACAATTCTAGCGACTCAATGCCAGACCTAGCGTAAACCATCGGAAAATTTCCAAGACTAGGAACAGGCAACATCACACATACCCAGGTACTTAATTAAAAGTCTTCGGGGCAGTTGTGCTCTCTATGCTATTTGGGACATTTGAAATACGCGGACAGTTAACCAAGGCTATGCAAAGACATTGAACCACTTTCACTTTTATTAGCAAGTTTTAGGAACATCATCCAAATACAACAGGTTCCCAGACTT